GGGGTGTAGCTGGAGGAGGTAGGTCACAGGGGTATACCCTGGTATTTTCCCTGTGGCCATTCACTCCTCTTTCTCTACTTCATGGCTACCATGAAGTATGCAGCTTTCTTTTGCCCTGCCCTTCCACCATGATGGTGGGCAGAAGCCTCAATTCAGGCCCAGAGAAATGGACTCAGTCTCCCATAAACTAAACTTCTGAAACTTTAAGCCCAAAATAAACTCGGTCTTGTTGGGTATTTTGATCACAGCCAAGAAAAGCTGACTTAACAGTCTGCAAAGTCTTTATTCAACTTTAAGATGCAGTTATTTTTGATTTTTTCACAAGATCRTTTGTTCATTAGGCATGTCAGGCTGTAAACTTATGTCCAACCCTAAAGAGAAAGAGTTTAGAAAGCAAATCCCTTAGGCTATTTGCACAGGCCTAGGAATATAAAAACCAAATAAATATCAGGGGAATTCTGTCAATACATTTGATCCTTTTCCTTTTTAATAGTGTAGTAAGCTGGTGCCTAAATTATCCAGGGCATTGTATAATTTAAATATTCTCTAATGCAGGGGAGAATTTCTTTGGTCTGAGATGAACAGTTGGGAAAGCTTTTCTTTCACTGGCCTCCCTTAGGATGGATAAAGTGGAATAGATCTTCTGGCCCTGGGGCAATGTTGGTACATTAAAACTTATGTGTTGACAGGGATACTCTTTCTCAGTGATTAAGAATTTGTTCACACATTTCTGATTTACTTGGCTTTAAATACTGAGTGAATTGGGTTATAATAACTAATTTTTTCACAAGTTATTTCTAAACTTTGGCATTTGCCTGTGTTAGTTTCTGTGTCTGAAATGTTCTGCCTACTTGTCATCCTGCTAACCACCACTTATCCTTGCTCTGAGCTTAAACACTGCTTCCTCAGAAAATCCCACTGTAACTCCCTATTAGATTCCTTTTATAATGTTTCACAGCATAGCGAATTTTCCCTACATGATTTTTATTCCAGTGCATGCAATTAAAAATGCAAGGGAAGAGCCTAGTCCACTTTGTTAGTTACTATATTAATATTTATCCAGCTGGTKCGGTGGCTCATGTCTGTAATTGTGGCAACTTGGGAGGTASAGGTAGGAGGATCATAAATTTGAGGACAGCGTCGGCACCTTAGCAAGAACCTGTCTCAGAATAAAAAAAGACAAAAAGGACAGGATGTAACTCATTGAGTTCAATCACAAGTACTGCAAAATAATAATAATTATTATTAATTATAATAATTATTATTTATCCAGTAGCAGTTTCTGGCACATGGTGGTTTCTATTATTTGTTAAGTGAATGAATGAAAGCTAAGGCAAATTATTAAAGAATGCAAATGAATGGCAAAATATTTATACAATCCTTCAAGTTAACCAGAAATATTTAAGAAAACCTACTAAAAATGATTGAATAAATATTTTGGAAACCAGAAAGCATCTTTTGATACAGCATTATGATGGACCTTACCCTTTTAGAAATTATTATAGATTTAAGTGCTTATGTCCCTGCAAAATTTGTTTTAATCCTCATCTCCAATGGATGGTATTAGGAGGTGGAATGTTGGGGAGGCAWTTAAGAAGGGTGGAGCCTTCATGATGTGATTAGTGCTCTTATAAGATGAAACTCAGATGTTCTTTCTCTTCATTATATGAGAATACAGCAAAAAGATAGCTATCTGGAAACCAGGAATAATGCTCTCTTCAGATACTAGATCTACTGACACCTTGACTTTGGATTTCCCAGTCTCCACAATTGTGAGAAATAAATGTTTCTTGTTTAAATCACCCAGTCTGTGGTAATTGTTACAGCAGTCCAAACTAAAAGAAATAAAACTCATGAAGATATTGTTAGCCTTTCTATTCCAGTTTAGAACAGAGTTTATCCCATTTACTTCTCATTTTTTAAAGAGATAAAACTTTGCAAGACTTTTGTTTTCCCCTACATTCACACATACAGAACTTGTCACCTACACGGGATTCAACAAAAGGTTCATTCTGGATTTTATAAAATCAAACTCAGATTATTTACAGAATCAAAGAATTAATAAGCATTTATTATAATAAAATCAAACTCAGATTATTTACAGAATCAAAGAATTAATAAGCATTTATTATAAATCTTTGAAAATGCAAATCATCATTAACAAGTACCAGATACACATCAGAATTTCAATAGCATTCTGTGCAAATTAATAGTCTGTAATTTGAGTAAAGTCCAGTGGCGTGCCAGGATTTAATTTTTCAGCTCCCATGAAGAAAAAAATAAGATTTTGTAGCATTTGCAAATTCCCCAGATGTAAATAATCTTACCACAATTTTAGCACTGTAAAGAGATGCACACAATTGGTCCTCACAAGCTAGGATGAGGTAGCTCCAGCATAACTCTTGTTCTAGTGATAATTTATAATTATGGAATAATTGTTACCTGAAATAGTAATCTGCCTTAGAGAATACTTGTAATATTCAGAACTATATCACCATATTACTCAGCAAAGATTGTGTACGATTTTAACTTTTTGGTACCAGGGGCACTTAGCCACACTTTTAGTCCTTTATTTTTTGAGACAAGGCCTCGCTAAATTGCTGAGACTGGCTTTGAACTGGTGATCCTCCTGTCTCGGCCTTCCAAGACACTGGGATTACAGGCATGTGCCACCAAAAATTTTGGTTTTTTAAAAATTAATTTTTCTAGTACTGGGGCTTGAAYCCAGGGGTACTCTATCTCTGAGCTACATACCCAGCCCTTTTTTAAAAAATTTTGAGATAGGGTCTCACTAAGTTGCTGAGGCTGGCCTCAAACTTGCAATCCTCCTGCCTCTCCCTCCCATTTTTCTGGGATTACAGGCATGTACCACCATGCCCTGGTATGTAAGATTTCAGTTGGTTTGGTAAGATGCATAGCTCATAACCAAAGTTGGACATAGCCCTGACTATAAAACTTTTGGGAGCCCAAGCTCTTAATCATTAGAATAAAAATGATAAATGTTATTACTGAAAACAAAATCTAACTTGTTAACATATGGAGATTTTCTGCTTTTAAGGGTAACAGGCCATTCAACCTTCTAATAGAATTTATAAGCAATTCAATGGAAGGAGAAATTCTAGACATTTAAAAAGAAAACCACTGACTACATTCACATGTCTTGTCAGGAACCTGTCAAGATTTCTTTGTCACACACAGAACTGGATTCAATAAAGTCTGCATTTTTTAAAAAATCAAAACCCAGCAGTTATAGAGCCCATTTTGCTGTCTTGGACAGAATTGGTCATATGTTCACACTAATCAGTTTTCTTTCATTTTCCAAGTACTGTACTTCAATACCAGTTTATGGATTTAAAAAAAAAAAAAAGTAATCATCATTAAATGAAATAACTAATTATTTAAGAATGATCCTAAATTTTAAGAGAAAAACTGGAAATAGCTCGAATGTTTGAAAGAAAGGGAATATTTAAATTATGGTACATGGATTTGATGGCATAGCCACTAAAGTAATTTTTCAAAACAATCTCAGGGCTTGTGTGTGAGGGGGGGAAGGGTTGAGGATTTATACAGTATGCTTTCAATTTTGATGTATAATATCTACCTTATGTGTGGGAAAAAAAAGGGAGGGAAAACATCTATTAAAATTATCTGAGTATTAAAATTAAATGAGATTCTTTTCATTGCTTTCTCATACTTTCCAAATTGTTTGCAAAGATGTTTAATTCTTTAAAAAGTATGCATGCTTTAGCTTCTCAAATTTCTTAGTTAACCCATTTCTTATTTTGCTGAAACTTGATAGTCCCTACCAGTTAAGAGCCTGTGTTTAGTCATGCTGTACCAAACTTGGGAGAAGTGGAGAGGCAAGAAAAAAGAACCTGGACCAGCAAAAACTTTTTATATTGAGCCGGCAAATTGAGGCTTTCTCCTTTGTAGCTATCTTTGAAAAATTACCTCAAGCCTTGTAAAAAACTAGTCAACAGAGCAATCAGTAAGTAATCTATTTTAAGTTTTAGGGCTCACTGTTGTTTTAAGACTCTTAGACCAACAACTACCTTGGGGAGCAAAATACCTTGCTACAGAACAATATACAAGCCTGTCATGGGAATATGTGAGATTAATCTACTCTAGAGGTCAAAAGCTTTTTTTATTATGCCCCTATCTAAAGAATCCCACTCTTAATACTGCAATTAAACATTGTAAAAGATAATTCCATTAACCTGAATGCTTAACAATTCTCAGAACAGATTTGGGAGGAAACCTAATAAATTTCAATGTCCATCAATATTGATAATAAGGGTCTTATCTATCATTTCAGCTAAGGCATTTGTCAGGGAACCCACAGCATTTTAAATTACTAAATTAAAATTTAAATTACACCATCAGCAAAAAGCCTTGCAATAGGTTCAAAATTTTCTGGCTGTGCACAAGCTCTTCCTGTTTCTTCAATTGTAAAATGGTGACAATCAAGTTGTCACAGGGTTGTCAGAAACAATATTATGTAGTTACCAGAAGAAAATAAAAGTTCTGTATTTTAATGTTCTGACCTGGACCACAAATCCAATGAAAATCAAACTTTCAATTTCACTACACTCACGCCCTAAGGTTTTATATACAGTAGGAGTCCAGTACTTGTTAAAGGAGTTAAGACACCATTGCTGAATTGAACTAAGGATTTAGAAGTGTATGGTGTAAAAATGTTCCATTCCAAGTAACTTGATGATCTGAGTTTCTGACTAGGTGATGTAAAAAAGATATGCTATGAAAACTATCAAGGTGATATCAAGGCTTGAACAGGATGATTTCCCCTAAACCACTCCTATGCTTGAGAAAAGGCATTTGTGTGGCAAAATAGTAGCTAGAGTTGCCATCAAAAATTATAGCAATTAGTTATCTTCAATTATTGTTTCCTTTAGAAAAATTAAATCAACTAAAATCATAGGGGTCTCAAATAATGTAGAAAGCAATCCTGTATACTAAAACATAACAAAACACAACACAGAACAAGCCTTTTGACTTTTTATTACTCAAAGAAGCTTCATTTTTTTTATTTAGCTTTCTGACTCTGTGCTTGTGCCTTCAACACTTTCACAACGATTTTCTGTTCCTCAATAAGGAAAGCACGCTTGATCCTARAAAGAAAAATATTTTATGAATAGTCTCCAAAATATGAAAGTAAAGCCATCAAGGAACCTGGAAAAACAAGTCATTCTGGGCTTGGGGTTGTAGCTTAGTGGTGGAGTGCTTGCCCTGCACATGTGAGGAACTGGATTTGATCCTTTGCACCACATAAAAATAAGCAAAATAAAGATACAGTCCATCTAAAACTAAGAAAACATTAAAAACAAAACATGTAATTCTATAATTCCATGCAAGTCATTATCTGCCCTCCTCTTCTGAGTCATGATCAACTTCTAAAATCATAACCACGAGACCAYTCCACCACTTACAATTTCTTAATTATTGGGATTCAAGACACATGGATATTACTTCATTAGCAAAATATCTTAGAATGTTCTAGTCATGTTATTGCAAGTTTTCAGTAAAAATCAGCTATGAGCTAGAACTAAAAATAAGGGGTAAAAGAGCTAGGCCTGAGAATTTATCTTAATGTGCCCATATAATTAGAGTCAATAAAGTTTACTAGTAAAAAGCCAATCAACTCTAGCTTGAAGCTCATGACTCAGCTCATAGTTTTATGTTTTCCTGTTTCAGAAGTTATAATTTGAATAGACTGGAGGCAAACTACTCCTCTGAATCAACCTCTTCASTTGTGAAGACCACCTCTCAATTTCTTCCACTGAGGTCTTCTTTGGAGGCAATTTAATGAAACCAGTAGGGTTAAGATTAAAGGTCTTAAAAAAAAATCTGGACTCAATCTTCACCTTGTCATTTACTGGCTATGTGAATTTAACACCTGACTAATACACATTGACGACATAAACTTCAATACTACAATTCTTTCCTATAACTAAAGACCCAGCCCTCTATATTTCCTCTCCCCACAGCCTCCCAGCCATTCAGCCATCAGGTCATTTCCTCACCCTTTGCAAAGAGAAACTCTACCTTCCAAATACCCATCTTTTGTTGATCCAATGACTTCACCATCACCATGCTTTAATTTGTTATAGCACACCAAAGGAGTCTCTGCACTGCTCAAAATGCACAAATTCCCATGTTTTTAAGAACCAAGCAGAAAACCTGCCTTTTATCCTGTAAAATCCTTCACAGTTCTACTTTTCCATTCTCTTCTTACCTGCCTCCCTTATAAAACTGCAATTTTTAAATTTCTCTATCTAGTATTAAGTATTCCCGAGCTTTGAACTTGATTAAAATGAGTTATTTTTTATCAGTCTTCTAACAACGACTAGCAAACAGGTAGTACACTCACATATATATATTTGCCAAAAAAAGTCCATTTGATTTAAACATTTCACTTACCTGTCACGAACACATTTAGCACACATGGAACCACCATAGGCCCTGCTGACATGTTTTTTTGTTTTAGACAATCTCATAAGAACTTTAGGCCTCACAGCACGAACCTGCATAAGGCAAATATTAAAATTATCTTATGATACTAATAACTTTGCCCGGTTTTGATAGGTGGTAACTTCAAATGTAAACTAGGTTACAAAGGGAAATGGTGTACCAATATATTTCAAAGGACATTTTATCACATTTTCCATATTGGTTTTAAAAAAAAAGTTCTGGGCTGATTTGGATCTTAGAGGGTTAGCAATTCTCAATCATTTTAGTGGTGCCCTTTCCTTCACTCATTTTCTTATCAAGGGATTAATGCACAAAAGTTAAACCCTTACTATATGTTGTTCATGGCARAAGCGTCACTTACCCCTCTAAGTCTGCCTGGGCACACACCACATGCAGATTTTGGTGCTTTCCCAACCTTCTTTGTATAAAGATAAACAATTCTATTACCAGGGGTTCGAGACCTAGAAAGTGAGGCAATAGTAAACAGTTCAGATTCAGTGAAGTACATGACAATATGTATTTTAAATCTTGGAAATACTTACAGCCTGGTTTTGTTAGAGGCTGTGTTGTAGGAAAGCCTACGACGGTATGTCAAACGCTGAACCATTCTGAGTGCCTAAATTAAAAATTAATAAAATCAAGTTTTGTCATTACAAACATAATTCAAAGCATCATCACATAATTTATGTCATCCATATATATGTGCATATACACAGATACACATTTATAAGTAATACCTTTATATTAAAGATTTTTTAAAAAACTCTATTCCATTTATTTACTTATTTTTATGTGATACTGAGGATGGAACCCAGGGCCTTGCACAAGCCATGCTACYGCTCTACAGCTGAGCCATAACCCCAGCTTCAAGATATTTTAAGACTTTACATTCAAGAGAAAATGAATGTCACTTCTCCCACTGATAAATCAAACGTGGCACTTCATTAAAATTTTGGTTAACAGGCTCCTTCTTCAAAGAGCCAGATTTTGTTAGGAGTGGTGTCCAGAAATGTAGCACCTGGTAATGTAATGCACCAGAAATGTAGCATCTGTAGGAGAAACGTCGGTTTAAATAAAGAGAAAAGTGACCCCTTAAAGTTGAACCCTTAGCTGTTCCATTCAATGGCAATACATACTGAAAAGAGTTTGAATTTTTTCCTCTAAAATGAGATATTTTACCTAGTTTAGAAAGCTGTCATTAAGATTAAATGAAAAACTATTTTCCCCAACAGTGCCTGGCACATATTAAGATGCATTCAGGGTTCTAGGTCTTGCCCCAAAGCAGCATTTTAGTCAAGAAAATCTGCCTTTCTTTAGTTTTCGGTGTATTTGGACTATGGCACCACTTTCCCCCTCCATCTATAAAATGGAATTGCGACTTAATGTTGTTACTTAGCAAATCGGCCATACATCATACAAACGACTTCATTTGGGAATGAACTATTCCAATTAACAAAAAGCGTAAGAAAAACCACCTCAATCTTTGTAACCGCTTCACCACAGAACTGTTAAGTGCCTTTGATGTCATAACCTGCTTACTAACATTATACTAACACGCAGCCATCAGACACCGATACTGACACAGAAGGCCACTGAGCCCCAGGAAGCCACTAATTCTTTTTCATCTACAAAACCAACACGAAAAACTTCCTTTAACACGTTTTCTCTCCCTTACTATCGCCGAAAACAGAAGCTGGCATTGAAGCAACTATCCAAAACTGCCAGGTTCCTCTCCCTCCCTAAGCAGGACTTCTACCGCCGAGATACTAAAACGAGGGTATTATGACCTAAAATTGCTCGACGACTTCCCAGACTCAATCAACGCAGCCACCACAGGTTTGTGCCTCCAAATGCCGCACTACCAAGGTAGAGTTCCGGCTCCTCGCTTCCTCGGAAGGGCAGCCAGGATTGACGGTTTTTCGAAGCTAAAAGTACAGGACCTTTTCACCAACAGCCTCCCTGTTACGCCCCTTACCCTCACGCCAATTCAAAGAACTATTCCTAAGAGCTCCCTGCTCCCGCAATTTCTCGGATGGCGGCCGATTGTACAGGGCATAAATACACAGAGAAAAAATAAGACACCATACCTCTAAACACCGTCCCCGGAAGAGGAAGAAGAAAGCGACGGAGAGTTCAAAAGTCAAATTCGAATGCGCAAGACAGGAAGTGGCGTTGAACCAGCGGCGTGACGGAAAGAATGCCGCCATGTTGTACGGAAGCCGACGCATCTCCCTTAGTAGGCGGGGAAGCATATCGTCGCCGCCCTAAACCGAGGCTGCAGTGGGCGGGGAAATTCCCTAGCGGTGTATAGCAACGCTGCACCGAGATGTTTGGGAATGGTTATGCAAGCATACACTAATGACCGAGGAACCCAGACCGACCGAGGCGGGACAAAGTCAACTTCCTTCATTATCACAGGCTCTACGACGAGTTTAACCTAAAGAGCCGCGACCTCTGGAGTTAGACCTGGATTTAAATCCTGACACCTCATTAGATGACCTTGGAGGACCTTCCAGTCTTTTTGTCACTTATTCAGGGTACAARCTTTACAAACAAATTAGTGTTAAGCCAGTATCTGTTAATTACTAGCTATGTTTCTTTGGCCAAGCCCTTAAATCTTTAAAAGGAAGATATTAGTAACTACCCTGCAGTGTTATGTCATGATCAAAGGCATCCTGAAAGTCCAAGCACTTAACACAGGGTCTTACAGAGAGTTAGTGCTCAATAAATGGTGACTAATCTTGTGATCATGTACAAAGAGCTACTTCAGGCTTTCCCTGAGTGGTAAAATGTGAGGTGGGCTATAAAGACGAGGAAAAGGAAGGGTAAAAATCTCCAAAAAAAAAAAAAAAAAAAAAAATTCGTTAAGGTTTAAGAGTCTGTATTTTTTTCGGAAAATTGAGTTCTTACCTTTTATCGTTTTGTCAAAGGGATTCATGACCTCAAAAAAAAAGTCATGAGTGCTTTGCTTGGACTCTTAAGGGAGCATGCTAAAGGAGCCTCTAAGTTTTTATCTTAGATGATGTTCCCCAGAAGTATACTGAGAGAATTGAGTGCTAGTTTTTTGGAGAGGGCTCATAGAAAATACAACTGAAGGAGCTGAAGAGGGCAGAATCAGGTGACTCACTTTGTGGTAGTAACTGAGGCCTCAGCTACTTAATAGGGAGCTCTGGAATTAAGATGGCTCTTCATAGATGTCACAAACCATCAAGGGAGTTTGTGCTCACACATTAGCCATTTATTGGCCAGTTGTATCTTGACCATGGCATCTTCCTGAAGTCATAGGCAGTGTCCTGAGGAAGGCCTTCAGAAGAGAGGATTTGGAATAGAGCACCCCTGAACCCTCTCAAATTTTCTTTAGGTTTCTCAATCCAACTAGCAAACTCAGAAATCAGGAGAGTGAGGGCAGATGAACTGTCCATAATAGATGTCTGTCTTGAATTGTGTGATTTGTTAATTCTGTTCTGCCCACATCCTTGCCATCTTTGTCATGGCACCAGATGGAAGGCTCCGTCTTAAATAGCTGCTCCTCTCCCAATCTGGTCATGAACTGTTTTTCTCCTTCCCAGTTCTTTGATTTTTGACTTATGAAATCCTCCTCTTCTCTGTTAGCCATTTGGATGGAAGCTGTCATAGAGAGCCAAGACTGGTTTTTGAATGAATGAATGCAAATATTTACTTAGAATATGTTCTCTATATTTCTAGAAAGATTCTGCCGGGCAGATGAGTGCACAGATAGGAGCCCTTTACACCCTTTACAAATTACATTTCTGTCCATGCTCCCCCACCACCATACCAGAAAAGAAAAAGTGATCCCCTATTGTAGTTTTCCCATATTGCACTTAACCTAGTTTTATAATGTAATTTTGTCCTCTCGTTCAATCTGAATTTGCATTTTTCCTGATCAGTCTTGCCAGAGATATGGCCATCTTATTAAAAATTTCAAAGGACCTTACTTGTTTTTTATTAATCTTTTTCTCCATTTCGGTTCTCTGTTCATTAATTTCTGGGTACACTTACTAAATATTTTATGAATTTGTGATGAACCTATCCCAGATTTTTTTTTCTGGTTTGGACTGGGAACCTTTGAGGTTTAACATTTGTTTATTTAAAGGGTTTTTGATAAAGGTTATTAATTTTAATGTGGTCGAATTCATCAATTTTTTCTGAGTTTGTGCTTTTTATGTCCTGTTTAAAAAATCCCTTTTTACTCAGATCTATAAGATATTCACCTATAACTTGTAATAACTTGAAGCCTTTTTATAGAATAATTTAGAATTTTATTTTTCTGTATAGAATGTGTTAAAGATACAATTTTCTTTCTTTCCATGTGAATAAGCATCTTTTCCTTCTTCATTTACTGCATTATCACTTCTTTCTTCACCAATCTGATATTGTAACTTTGTCATATACCGAAGCTTATATATCTGTGGGTCTGTATCTGCCTTTTTATTGTGTACCACTGGTCACTTTGTCTTTTATTTTTTTAAATCAGTTTCACATTTTCTTCATTCATTAGTAAATCCTATCCACAGGAAGGGAACATATGTACCATCTTTCCATCTTTACAGAAAGGAAATTATTGACTTTTTCTTTTCCAGATACATTTTAGAGTCAGCTAATCTGGATTTTGTTTACATTTGCATTAAATCTATGGATCAACTAGAGAAAAACTAATATATTTATATGAAGTTTTTCTAAGAATAAGAATATATCTCTCCATGTTTTAAGCCCTCTTTAATGTCCCTGAATAAAGTTTTATGATTTTTTTTCTATAGAGATTTGCATGACTTTTGTTAGATTAATTTTTAGGTACCTGACATTTTCTTATTCTGTTGTAATGGTGCCTTTTAAACTATGTCATCTAGTTGTTTGTTTGTTGCTAGTATTTAGAAATATAATACATTGTTTATTAAATTTTACTTTGAACCATCTTGATTCTTCTATTATTTCTAGCTATTTGACAAAGATTATTTTTAGATATTTCAAGATTTTTAGAAGCCGCAATTTAAGATATATAATAAGCATATATCATGAGAAATTTTTACAAATTAAACACACCCAGTTGAAGACAATATCCTCAGTGCTCCATTCCTCCTTCTGTTCCTTTGCCAGCTTTCTAAGGATAATCCTGATTTCTAACCCCACATATAGGTTTCTCCTATTTTTGCACTTTACATGACAATTCTTTTTGTTTAACTTCTTTTGCTCAATTTTTATGTTTATGAGATTCATCTATAWTATTTTTCTTTGTTTTTTGGGTACTGGGAATTGAACTCAGGAGCACTCAACCACGGAGCCACATCCTCAGCTTATTTTGTATTTTATTTAAAGATAGGGTCTCACTGAGTCACTTAGCACCTCACTTTTGCTGAAGCTGGCTTTGCACTCGTGATCCTCCTGCCTTAGCCTCCTGAGCTGCTGAGATTACAGGCATGCATCACTGCACCTGGCTCCTCCATATTATTTTTCATTCTTACTGCTATGTAGCATTTCACTGAGCACTTACTTATTATTCTCCTGTTCAAGGGCATTAAGTGCTTTCCAAGTTTGGGCTATTATGACTAGTGCTTCTATGAACATCATGGTTCATGTCTTTGAATGAATATGGTGTACATATTTCAGTTGAGTATATTGGAATTGGTGGGTACATGGCAAAGGGAATTTTGCCAATATAATTAAGATTACTAATCAGTTGATCATAAATGAAGTCAAAATCCAAAGAGGGCTGAAGGAATGTGCTGGTAGCCTTTATATACTTCATATAGAATTCAATGCTTCCAAGTTGTTTTTCTGTTTTTTTGAACATATCTTTCTTTTTTTCCTTCTATCATAAAAAGTCAGACATTATAGTCTTATTTTCACTCCTTTAGAAGGAATTGGTGTTTTGTTTATGTTTTTTTTCCTCTAGCAGTCTTCTAGGTTTGGTTTGCATTAGTTTTACTACAATATACCTTTTTTTTTAAGTATTGGGGATTGGGCATACATGTGGGCAAGTACTCTACCATTGAGCAACTCCCCCAGCCTCTTATAGGAATTTTCAAATCTTTATTTTGATGTGTTTCATGAGTTTTAGAAAATTCTCACTTATAACCTGTTCAAGTATGGCTATTGCCCCATTTTTTTCTCTTTTTGAAATTCCAATGTATACTGCATTCATATCATTGTATCTCTAGATATTTTTCTGGTTATCAGTTGCTACATAATAAACTAATGAAAACTTAACAGCATTAAATAACAAGCATTTTAGTATGTTCATGGATTCCTTGGGTCAGTAATTTCTGCAGTTTGTCTTTAATACCAATGAATAGAACCTCAGTGGGGGGTGACTTGAACAGATGGGATGTAATTGGAGTTCTCCAGAGACACAGAACCAATAGGTTATTTATCTATTTATTATAGAAATTATAGGAATTGGTTCATATGATTAGGGATTGATTCATGTGATTATGGAGACTGTAGGGGTTCCATGATCTCTCTATCTGTGACCTGGATAACTAGGAAAACCAATGGTGCAAGTTCCAGAGTCCAAAGTCCTAAGAACCAGGAGAACTGAAGTATAGGTCAGAAGAAAATGTTGTAGGCCAAACAGAGAGAAAATTCATCTTTTCTACACATTTTTTCTATCTAGGCTCCCAGAATATTGAATGCCCACCTGCACTGGTGAAGGTTACATATACTGATTCCAATACCAATTTTATCTGGAAACACCTGCATTAGATGGACCAAGAAATAATATTTTACTAGCTATTTGAGCCCAGTAAAGTTGACATATAAAGCTAGCCATTGGATAGGGGCTAGAATCATCTGAATACTTTTTAAATTCAATACCTGGCCCACCTGGAACTTTCAACCAGCACATTCACACCTAGCCATTTTGTAAGGACTAGAGTTTTCACAAATGGCAGCTTGTTTCTGAAAGAGAGGTTCTCAAGAAGGAACATCTTAGAAAGTATTCTAAGATAACCAGCAGAAGCTGCATGACCTTTTATAACTGAAACTTAGAAATCACATAGCACCACTTCTGTCATAATCTATTGGTCATGACTGACACAAGCCCACCCAGATTCAAAGGATAGGTAAATATATCCTTACTCTTGAATAAAGTATTACTGAT